CCGGCATATGTATGCGACATCATGACACCGGGGACTTTGTTACAAGTACTTTACGGTAATGGAGGATTTTCGCTTGAGCATCCCTCTAACAAAAATTAATTTAAATCGATATGCTGCCCGCAACAGCGAAACGTGTCTGCCGCAACTGCCACGCTGCCACGCTGCCACAGCTGCTTGCTGCAGCAGTGCCACACTGGTTGCTGCCTCTTGTTATTAATTAGTACAGCAATTTGGTTTTGCTGCCGCATTGTTTGATTGAACTGCAGAGCAAAAGAAAATCGCATTTGCAGCGATTTTTTAGCTGCCACCAATGTCAACAAGGACATGCCACACACACACTCACACAAGCAGCTGCCACATGTGTGGGTGTGTGTGTGTGTATGTGTGTTCGGCTGCGTAGTATAGTTTATTGACTGCTTGTGGGAAGTGCTTTGGGCGAGATCTCTAAAGAATGTAAGGCTTTTATTCTGGCCAGCCAAAGCCGTTCGCAAATCCTGAAAATTGACTTTGCTTGGCAGGCGGCGGGCAGGAAATCAATGCCGCCATTTTGTGAAAGAGTTGCCCTCGTCAGCAGGCAGCAGGCAACAGGGAGCAGGGCAACTCTACAACTCTGATGCTACTGCGGCTGCTTCTTTTGCTGCTGCTGCCGCTGCTGCTGCTTCACATCTTTGTCGCGTATCTCTCATAAGGCATACAAAATTAGTTCAGCGCAGCCATAAGACTTACTTAGGGGGGAGTAGGGACAATGGAGTAGGGGAGTGGCGGGTGTATATATATAGAGGGGGGAGGTGGATGCGACATCTTCAGTTCGGCTCCCTACGCACCATCGTATTTCATTTCGTCATGTTTCGGGATTAGGCCGGATTAGTTTGGCGACTGAGCAATGGCTCTGAACTTTGCAACGACTGCTCTGAACTTTTTTGGTAGTTGCTTAAAAAGGGAAATGTGCGACAACAACAACAACAACAAGGGCGCGAACGTGGTGTGCGTGTGTGTGTGTGTGTGTCTGTGTGTGTGTTAGGTGTAGATTTGTGGCACTTCTGGCCGCCTTCGAATGCTTTGCATATGAATTTTGTTTGTGCGTGCAACTTCACGATTGCCGTGCATTAAGGTTTCTTCTTTTCTTTTGTTGTCCCCTCATTGCAAAGGATTCGTGTACATGAAAATACATATTTCTCGGCCACTTGACACATTACAATAACTGTGGTAAGTGCAATAATTAAATGCATTATGCACTTATATTTAGAATCGCGATTCTTGTTTGGAATTTAGTAAATCAAAATTTACTTGGAGATGATTAGAAATTATCCATTAATAACTTTGAGAAAACAGAACAGAGTTTTTAAGGCAATCCTTTTTTGGTCATTGTTTGTGATGAAGCTTAATTTATATTTATAAAATATAGTGTAAAATATATAATAAATGCAATTAAATTTATAACTTCTACCTATAAGACCCAAAGTCTTGAAAATCAAAACATTTTCGGTCATCGTTTGGCATCAAGATTAATATATGGTTCACTTTTAAACAACTATTTAAATAAAGTTTTTAAATAACAATATAAAGCTAATGCTATTCAAGTTAAGACAAGTTTAATACCCCCAGAAAGTAGTTGTTGGCTTGGCTTTAAATATATTTTTTCTTACTTTAAACCAAACTTGGAGTTTCTTTTTGATTCATATTTACAATTTTTTTTATATTTTATTTAGTGGTTATTTTGAAAGAAGAATGCAACTGTTGCTTAATGAAACATGTTTTTAAAAGGGTAGTAAAAGTTGTCTAGCGTTGGGAGACTTTCTCGAACCGTAAAATGATTAAGTGTCTATATTTTTTGGTTGGCTAAAAAAGCGAACAAGGAAATAAAATATTGCACATATTTCAATTGCTGGAGCTGTAAAATATTTTCGCCATTATTGGCTAGCTAGTATGAGTAAATACTTAGTACACTTTTTTACACATAGTTCGAACTTGGTACACTTTGTGCACATAGTTCATGGCACGTAGACCTCAGTGGCAAAAGGCCGGCCATTTTGTCAAAGGCATTCCAATGAGGCCCGATAACAAACTGTGTGTGTTAGTTAAAGCCCCTTTTGCGCATTGGTCGATATCGGTAAAGTCGAAAGTCTAATTTTGTTTTTGCTCTCGCTCTCTTATAATTGAAATGTGCCTGGGTAAATCCCAGGGCACAGTGCTCTGCCCCTCCAACTCCCACTCCCCCCAAAAAATAGATATCATGTCATCAATGGAAATGTTGCCGTTGCCGTTGCCGTTGTCTTTGCCCCATTTGTCCTGCATTGATTAAAGATGATAAAGTGGGATTTCTGGATGGGTCAAATGTGACGCAAATGTAATTACAGCAAAATCAACCCAAACATGAGTACAACAGCCCCACAACCACCGCTCCTTTACCAAATTCCATTTAACCCCTTTATCATCATAAAAGAGAAGTCAGTCTAGCAAAGCAAGATTTGACAGGTGTGGCTCACAGAGGGGGATGGGGGATGGAATATTTCTCAATTTGAACCTTGTAACCACAGAAGGCATTTTCCATATCATTGCCTCTCTATTAATGGCTAATAATACAATGATATTTCTGAAGTATTCTGCCTTCCACCCTCCCGTCGCCTGTCGAGTGCTTTGCTTTGACTTCAACTAATCGAAAGTTGTGTGCCAGTTTTTATATAAGTTCAAAGCGCATTTGCCGCCTGCCAAACTCAAAACAAAGTTGAGTCTGAGTGCTGAAGTGGACATACAATTATTTTGAGGGCGTTTACTTGTACAGATTACAAACTTGCACTTCTATCTGTCCATCTATCCATATCTGTCTGTCTACCTGTCTGCCATTCTGTCTGTCCCTCTGTTTGCGTCTCTGCCTCTCTGTCTGTCTGTCTGTCAATGCTCTAATCTAACTATTAAACTTTTTTCAACTGCCAACCCAATGGCAAATCATATGAGTTTATTTTTATTTTGAACTTGATAAAAACAAGCAGATGCTTCAGATAAATGAAGCTTTTACTACATATAATAAATAATTGAAAACAAAAATTAATAATTACATTTATTGAAGGGCTTAAAAGTTAAAATCATGAAGGTCTTAGGTCCACATTAAATAATTAAATGAAGAGATCGACTGACTGTTGATGTGACCATAAAAAATAAATAAATAAGTTGTTTAGTACAATAAAATCCATGAGAAGCAGAAAACATATTCTAATTAATTTATATAAATTTTAGTGCTTTTTTTAGTGACCTAGTTTTTATATTTTTAAAAGCATTGATTTCTTTAAATACATTAAGCTAAAAAAACGTAGTTCGACTTAATTCTTTGGCACGTAAGCCCCTTAAGATTTGATTTTAATAATAGATATTTAGCTGACGTTATTCAAATTTTATTGAGTAATTAGGAAATAAAAAAAGATTTATGCTGCCTACAAAAAATTACTTAACTTACTTTAAAAATTATATTATATTATTATTTGACATTTCATATATAGATATTATATATAAGCAAAGTCGAACGGTATATTTAATGTTTTCATTGATATTAAAAAGAAATCACTGCTTACTTTTTATGAAGTGCTAAAGTGCACTAAGAACTAGAGTGCCCAAGAAAGACTTGGGGAAATCATAAAACAATAATAAAAATAAATAATATTATATGACAAAAAGACAAGAACTTGTGCATGCCACACACCTCCCTCCCCCCACACACCCCCCTCTAATACAGACCACTTGAGTCACGCAGCAAAAGAACAAAATAAAAACGCAGGCAGGCAAATGTGAAATAAAAACGAAAATTATGAACTGCACAAAAGCTGTTTTGAATTTTAATAAATTTCGTTTCGTTTCGTTTCGTTTGTTGTTTTTGGCCAGAAAAAAAGTATCTCTGTCGGGAGTGAGCAAATCAAACAAGGCCTGAGCAGGGCTGGGGAGGGCATGAAAATGGGGGTAGCTAAGTCAGCAAGGAAGGCAGAGCAGAGCACGGGCAGCGGAGTATACGTCAAAAAGAACAGTTATTTATTTATTTGTGCGCAATCGAGAGGCACACCAGGGACTGCAGGGAGGGTCGCAGCATCAGCAGCAGCAGGAGCAGGGGTCGGGTATCAGAGTAGGAGTCGCGGAGTAGGAGGAACCCATCGCCTCAAGAGCGACAGGCAGGCAACAGACACCAAACACAATGGCGGCTAACGGAGAATAATGGGATAACAAAACGCCCTTGACACCCAGTAAAAAAGACAGCCAGCCCTCAAAAAAAGTGTGCGAAGCAGAAGCAGTAGCAGTAGCAGAAGTGGAAGGTGGAAGTGGAAGTAGAAGTTGAAGCAGAAGCAGAAGTAGCCTTATTATTATGAACATTGCGGAATCTGACTCGGGCACGTAGCAAAACATAGGTAAAGGGGTGGCAAGGGCAGGAGGAGGGGCGGCAGAAAAAGAAGAAGAAGGAGAAGGAGAAGAAGAGCAGGACCTACAAAGTACAAATACAAATCAAACCCTTGAGAACAACAACAACAACGGCAACAAGAAAAGCAGCCCAAATAATAAACACAAGAAACAGCAAAAAAGGAACAAGAGGGGGATGGGGTGGGAGAGGGAGGAGTGCGCGCGCATACGGGGGAAAACCAGAAATGTGAAGCCAAAAGAGAAACAGAAACACAGCCGCAGAAAGAATATGGAGCAATATGGCGCTCTGTAAACACACACAGTGAGTGGCTGGGTGCGTAAGTGAGTGCGAAGGCGTGAGCGAAAGAGAGCGAGAGCAAGCGAGAGAGAGCGATCGACAGAGAGAGAGAGCGAGTGAAAGGAAACGGTTTTTATGGGGTGTGTCTTCCTTGTGGTCTCTGCACGCAATGCTCTCTCGCTCTCGCACAGCTAAACCCGCCGCCAGACTCGCCACTCGCTGTGCATGCGTGCTCGCTCGCACCCGCAGCCGGGCTCTGATAAGCGAGAATGAATGTGTGGGAAAAAGCGGTTTTCAGTTGGTAAAATCGAATTCCGTTATTCAGTTGCTGCCGTTTGCCAGTCGTCAACGTCGTCATCAGCGTCGTCGTCGCCGTCGCTGCTTCTGTTTTCGTAGTCGTTGTCGTCGTCGTCGTGCGTTTTTTTTTGGTGGCAACTAGCTACTCGCTGCTTGCTGTTGCATGCAACACCCCTCTACGCACTCGTTGCTGTCGCTGCTATTGCTGCCGCTAAAGCTGCTGCTGCTGCGACATATCCAACAGATACTTTTTGAATAGGTTTTCAATTCAGCCACGTCCTGTTACGGATGCAGACGCGTTGTGTTTCCGTTTCAACAAAAAGCAAACAACAAAACGAAAAAAGTTGATCGACTTCTTTTTTGCCATAGACAACAACAAAAACAACAACACAACAGCAACAACAACACGACTATTTAGCCTAATTACGCGCTGGATTAAATTATTAAAAACATTAAAGCCGACGCGGATTTAGAAGCAACACAGCCGGTTTGCCGACAAACGATTCTTTCTATCTACACACACATACGCATGATTGTATGCGTCTATCGTGAGTGTGTGTGTGCGTGTGTGTCGGAGTGTGTGCGTGTCGTGTATGTGTGCCGAGTGTGTGTGCGTGTGTGTGTGAAGAGTCGGCTATAATAGCAACGACGTCGCATTAAAAACATATCCATGAGTTACTTAAAATTAATCACTAACATAATCACTGTGATTTTTATTTGAGCTACGCGTGTGCAACAAAAATAAAGATACAAAATACAAAATAAAAAAGTAAAAAAGTAAAAACAAAGTGTTGCCAATTTGTGTGCAAACTATAAAAAGCGTTTAAATGTTTTAGCCATAAATGAAAGAAGCAGAAAAATAAATGAAAACAACACACACAGCCAACAAATACACCCAAAACAAATCTGTTGCAACAACAACAACAACACCAACAACAACAATATTAAAACGCTAAACGAATTTCTGGTATCTGTAATTTATCAATAAGTTCAACGACAAGTTTTTCCCAAAACAAAAAAAGATTTATTACCGACGCAGACGACGCAGCCCACGCGACATTTCTGAAATCTTGAGTATTTTCACAATGAATTATCAAATGAATGCAATCTGATTTATTGCCAAGTGCACAACATTTGACCCACATTAAAGTGCCAACAATCATCCAAAAAACGAACAGAGTTCAAATCGGAAGAGCAGCAAACAACAAAACAGCAAACCCAAACCCAACCAAACTCACCTCTGGTGATCATTTCTAGCCGTCAAATTGACGTCGCTAGCAAGTGGATTAATTTGAATTTCTTTTCCATCAGTTGGAGGTAAGCAGAAGCATTTTATTTTTGATGACAAATAAACCATTGGCTGATTGAACACATTTTACAATAAAAGAGACGCGAAGCAAGAATTTTAATATTCACAAATAACTATAAAATATAAAAGAAATGATTTAAAGAATTTGCTAAATATGATATAAATTAAACTGGTCGTAAAGTTTTGGGTAATATTTAATAGCAAGTTTGGTTAAAAATAAAATAAATTACTTTCGTCATAAAATTTAAGGCAAGCAAAACAAGAGCAACCAACTTGGGCACAACGAAGTTGAAATACCCTTTAATGCAGATAGAAGACTAACAATCTATTGAAATAATAATATTTAAAAGTAAGAAGAAACCATCAAATATTTATAAAATATTAAGAAATTTGACTCGTAGTAAATTGTATAGTTATAATCATGGCAAAATATATTTATATTATACAAATTATATGCGTCTCAGAAATTCAAAATAAGCAGAGAAAATGATTGACGCAACTTTCTCTTTCCAAGAAATTTATTTAAAAATTTGCCAAGCACTTCTGAGAAACATTTTAATTGTTGTCAGTTTAGCCTATTTGTAGAGAGTTAAACCAGGCCCTGTCTGCTAAATAAAATAACAATACGAAAAGCTCCCGAATCTGCTTAAAACTAGTCATAAAAGTACTTGTTGAACAAGAGCTTAAATGGGTTTTGAGTATTTTGCTGCACTCTCGCGCCAGACATAAATCAACGCGACTCGAGTCGAGTCGAGTCGACTCCTAATCATCAGACAATGTAACCATAAAGTGGAAGTTACCCGCTAATTGCCATTGACGTCACTTGAACAATTAGTTGCGAATTTTGGGATGGAAAAAACCAAAGAACCAAAAATATACAAGCAAATGACATCCAGGGGGAAAAATAATTTAAATAAATTAATAAAATTAAATAGAAATGCCAACACGTTAAAAAAAAAACCTTGGCAAAACATAGAAATCTTGCCACCTTTTGACTGCAACTATTTGCTCTGTCCGATAAGGCCCCAAACGGGTGGGGGAAGGGTGGTGCAGGAGCAGGGGCAGGCATAGCCAAAAACAAAAAATGGAGAGCAGCAGCAGCAAGAAAAGCTGCGGCAATAAAGTGACATAAAAATAATTTCTGGCATGCCTTTGTCTTAGAGCATCATTATGTAAATAAATTCTTACTTCTGGCACAAAATGACTTGACGAAAAAATAGGCAGCGAAAAGAGCGACAAGAGAAATAATATTTATTAGCACTGCGGCAAATAAATATGCCACAAATGATGCCCCAACAAAATTGACAACAATGTGAGAAAATGCAAAAGAAAAAAAAAACACTTTTCATCTGCACATCAAAAAAGAAAGAGCAAAATAATAATAAATGAAGTGTGGTCATAAATAAACCAAACGTTGCTGTTTAAATCTGTTTAATGTGAAATTATGTTTATTATTGTTATTAAAACAACCGCAAGGCAATTTAATATTACAGCCGCACTAATCCACTAGGGATCAAGTGCAGATCAAGCGGCATTATCAAGTATAAATTTTCAATTTGAGGCCAAATCGAAATCGAAAGTGACAAATCAAATTGAAATTTAATACGAAATTCACAATAATTAAAAACAGGCGCCGACGTCACAAATAAACATATATTTAAACAAAAATAATTCTTCCAGTCTTTATTGTTTTTTTCTAGTCGGATTTATGATTGGAAAGTTGAGAGGTTTTTGTTAGTTTATTTTCTATGTTCTGCTTGCGACGTATAATTTATTAAATTTTTTACAACTATTTATTTAAGTTTCATGTTTTATTTTGTATTTTTTTTTTTTTTTTTTTGCTTTTCGAATGCTTTTATTTTTGTTATGATTGAGATTAGATAAGAATTTATTGCAACGAGCGCTTTGTTTGGCTTTGGTTGATAGCGCACAAATGTGCCAAATGCGAACGGCAAGCAGCCCGAGAATAGTTGAAGGTAGTCATAACCAGCAGTTAGGGGCAATTCCATCGATTGCTAGAAATACAAATATATATATATATTTCTATATATGTATATATATATAGATCGGGCCACAATTGGCAACAGTTAATTGATTTACGAACATTTATGGCTATTTTTGGGATACTGTCAGTAGTTTTTTTAATAGACATTTCCTTCTGCGGTGTTTAATTTTAATTTTTTAAATTTATTGCACAGAAGCAGCAGTTTGTGGTATTTCCCCTCTCACACACACACCTCCCCCACACTCTGGGAGTGGTTGCCAAATTCACTTGGTTACTGCTGTGGTAATAATAATAAAAAGAAGGCACAAGAAAAAAATACAAAATAATTCACAGAAATGTAAATATTGTTACATTGATAAGCAGCAGCTTGTTATCTTTGTCAAGCTCCCACTCTCTCTCTCCCACTCTCTCTCTCTCTCTCTCTCTCTCTATCTATCTTTAGACATGTTGTCCATTAAATGTTTATAAAGGGCATTTTGATGTTGTGCATAGGCTACACGCCTAGGTAGAAGGTAGCATCTATATTATACATATATTCTTGTTCAGCAGCAAAAAATTATCTCAGATACTTTAAGAGCCACAAGCTTCTCTTCATTTTTTGAGTTGGACAAAATTATCAATAAAATAAATGGTAGTTTATAACTTTGCTAAACTCAGCAAAAAAATTATGAGTCTGAAGAAAAGCATTGCAAAGTCGCCACAGTTTTAACACCAAGGGTAGTTCTACTTATTAATCAGAAATTATATTTCTAAAAGGCAAACAGAACTTTTCTTGATTTTTCTTGAATTTAGAAAAAAAAAGTATAATGTTAAGTGTTTGTTTCCTTATTCTTATACGGTATATTTGACTTTTTATATTTAAATTATTATTAAACATTGGTATTATACGCTTCAAAACATATACAATCAATTTTAGATAACTTACATTCATAAAATTTAAATTGAAAAAAAACTTTGAATTGGCAATCCTTCAAAACTCATATTTTTTCCAAGCAAACATATTTCTTGCTTATTGATTGGTGAGCTCTTTTTAAATTTAAAATGTTTTGCTAGTACTTAAATACTTTTTTTAAAACCTTGTCAGTTTTTAAGGTGATTATTCCTTAAGGGCTATTTAATGTCTGAGTTAACAGGGTATCTGGTAGGCGAGCTCTGTCATCGACATTACGCTTACTTGTCTGAGACTGTGATAAGAAGTTAGCTAGGTGTAGGAATCTCTTCGTGTCGTGGCCTGTGTTGTCAACTTAAGGCGCAAACGTCTTAAACCGGCACCCACAGCGATTTACGATTGCAGGGCATCTCGGATCGCTTTTTTTTTTTAGCGTTGTATGTATTTAGTTACAAGAGACGCAGACTCGGCGGTGGTGCGAGCCTCCACTGATGTGGTATTAACCCCTTTGACGTCTTTGGTGTTAAGTTGCCGTTGTTTCTGGTGTTTGGGTTAAGCTCACTGTTTGCTTCAATGTGATAAAAGCAAAAAAACAAAAAAAGCGTTGCGCTGCGTTTGCCACAGGTAGCCAACAGATACACAACTATAGATACAGATACATAAAGATAAAGGCAACAGGCGAAAGTAATTGTGATAATAAATACACTCAGAAAAAGCATACGAGTGTGTATTGTGCTTAAGTCAAGCTACAAATATTGTCAAAGGTCCATCGATCGAAAAGAGAACTAAACTCATTCATCAGATTTTATTTATCTAGAATAATTTTATCCAGAGAAGAAAATTATTATTTCAAAATGCAGATTCATTTATGAAAATTCACAATAGAAAAATCGAATTCTCTTTGAGTTATTTAAGCAAAATTTATATCAATTTTAAATCTGTTGAATTTTACCTCTAAAACACACTGTTTTTCTCCAAGTGTATTTCACATTTAATCAACTCGCAATTTTGCTACTTTTTTGTTGTATTTTTTGCAGCATCGCCGCGCGCTTCGCAGCCGCAGCGATCTCTCAGATACAGCCGCAACTTGGATCTGCTTTCGCCACAGTTGGAAGATACCGGCCTCAAGACGACGACATTCTTGCAACATTTTAAGGACGTCGTCACGACGAAGTTCAACGGCCGTGATCATCATTTGCCGCCGCTGCATCCAGCGCATCCGGCGCACCACCAACAGACAGCGGGGCTGCACCACCACCATCAGCCGCATCAGGCTGTCGCCCAGAGTTTCTCCACCATTTTTCCAACGTATCTAGGCATGGACCGCGCCGCCGCCGCCGCCGGTGGCTGTGGCGTGGTCACCAGTTCCGCCACCGCCTTGGGACCGGGCGGCATCGGTGCCGGCGGTGGTGGTGGTGTTGGCGGTGGCCTCGTCAGCGGTGCCCTCAACGGTTTGGAGGCCATGTCTGCTGAGTCGACGGGCCTCTGCCTGCAGGATCTGGTTAGTGCGGGCACAGCGAATGGTGCCGGCTCGGCGGGTTCGGCGGAAAGTGCCACCACTACGAGCACGGCGCTGAGCAGTGGCAGCTCGACGGTAAATGGCGGTGGCAGCAGTGCATCGGGCGCGGATCATTTGCACAGCCATCACAGTCTGCATGACTCCAGCTCATCGGTCAGCATCTCACCCGCCATCTCGAGCCTGATGCCCATCAGCAGCTTGAGTCATTTGCATCACACGGCAGCCGGCCAGGAGCTGGTCAACACCTATGCGCAGCATCCGCATCATGGCGTCGTGCCACCACACACACCGAAACACGAGCCGCTCGAGAAACTCAGAAGTAAGTACCGAATAGAGACGGTTACCTCAGATGTACCCATACACATTTAAAACGAATGAAACAAAATATGAGCTTGTAGTTGTGAACAGACAGAAGGAAGGATAACACAAAGTTTGTTTAATGTTATCGATAACTTCCCAATTTAATTACAATCGATAAATATCAATTTCCGAGCACAGTTTTCTTTTTAAAAGTTACTCTCTCCAAGTATGCCACACTCTATACTCTCTTTTGAGATTAAAATTGTGGGCATTCATATCAATTGTAAGTCGCAACCCATTCAAGAAAGTTGATTTCGTATTATCGATAGATAAAGCTCGATTTCCTATATTATGGGTGATATTCTAAATGCTTCAAATAATATCAACTTACAGTTATGAGCAGACTGAAAGAGGCATCCGATGAAGTTTATTTTTTGCTATCGATAAATGACTCAATCGATAAATATTAATGTCGGACAGAGTATTTCTAAGTCTGTCGCACTCTCAACTTAATTACTCTGGTTTTTGAAGACATTTTATGGGGCCAGCTGTGGGCATAGCCCTCTGCCTCAGTCAAGTCAATTTCTTGGCCAATTTGTTCTACAATTTATTTGTCTGCCACGATGTGGAATTGGGGTCTACCGTCCTCCCCAAACCCCCCACCAAAACAAAAAAAAAAGCCGCTCGCTGCGCGCAGCTAACAAATTTACAAGTAATTAATGCGCTCATAATTCACACAAGCGTCGCCGTTATGCGGTGCGTATGCGTGATATTATCTATGCATGTGCGTGTATGTGTGTTTGTTTTTGGGTGTGTGTTGGTGTTGCATGTTGTTGTTTTGGCTAGTTGCTGTTGCAACAAGTGTCCACATTCACAGCCAAACATTGAGTCGCAAATCGAGACTCGCTTTTCATATTCATACTCATCGCATCGCATCGCATCTCTTTTTTCTTTCTTTTTTTTTGGCAACAACTGTCAGCAACAGCTGTCGTCATCTTCAATATTCATTCGTTACAGCCAATCATTCACGCTCTCAATACTTGCTCACTCCATCATTCATGCGCTGCTCGTAAATTTCTAAACAATGTGCAAATATTGCCTGTACACTCAGAAAAAAATCATGATGAAATTTAGAAAAAAAAAACGCCCCAAAATAAAATGCTTCTCCAAAATGTAGATATGCAAACCCTGATTCCATTAACTGTGATCTCTTCAAATAATAATGTTTAATAATAATATAAGTAAGAAAAAAATGTTAACAACAGTTCTTTAATATATTTAAAAAAGAGCCACAAACTACAATTATATTTAATTTACATTCTGCACAACACTTAGCGCCAGAAGCACGACGAACTTCCAAAATTCAAATCGAATTATTTTCTGAGTGTACCCTTATACTCCTCCCTCCTCCCAAAAAAGCTATCACTTCAGTGACAACATGCACGCCTCATGCATATTCATAATAATCATTGTGTAATCATTAGCGCATAATCTTCATAAAAGCGTAACAAAGGCGAACAACAACAACAACAACTAGAAAAAAATATATATGTAGAAAAAGAACTAAACAACTTTGAGTTTTGCTGCGCATGTCACGGCTAATTGAGCACCCTTCTGGCGTAGTGCCGAAGGCAACACTCTTCTCATTCCCAATTCTCAATTCCCCTGCCCTTTCCCTTTCCAGCAGTCAGGCCCAATTCCGTTTGATGCTGCGAGGGGTCGCTCGATGCCTGAAATTTGATATGTGCATTGTAGTCAAGTGTTTGTTGTTCCGTTTACACTAATTGTTATGGGAATTTGGCTGCGGAAACACAGTCGGACATATTCTTGCCGAGAGGTGTTGCCTGTAAATGTGTACAAAATTGGGTGATTCAAGTGCAATTGAAAAAGTCATATTGTCTCTGATACAAGTGTCAAATTTGATAGTCATTGGTAGTTCTTTGAAAATAGAAACAGCATTAAAGGCATTTCATAAATATTTGCAGTTTCGAGTTTGGAGAACTTTGAGTGCCGGTCTGAAAACAGAAACATCATCATTGTTGATAAATATTTGTGCATTTAAATTTTATACAGTATTTACTTGTTGGAGATATGCAGAACATTAAGTGCCGATCTGAAAATAGAGTCGATTTAAATACTAAATATTTAAAAATTAAAATTTGTTTGGAGAACTTTGAGAACACTGACTTTGAGTTATAGGATTTATCGAGTAAATGTTAACAAATTCTGTTGAAGTTGAAGTTAAACAACAATTCTTCTTAACTTACATTTATAATCTGCAAATAACTGAGAAATAACCTTCAACTGAGCTCGAGTTTCTGGTTTAATTAAAACTTTACCTTATACAAAACTTCTTCTCCATTTAAATTTATAACTCTGCGAATACCACTATAATATATTCCTTAAATAAAGTACAAATGAGTTTATATACTTGGATTCATTAGACTTAATCTAACTTATTCCCCCAAAGTTGACGTTATACAACACTGCTACTGCTCCATTTGGTATGAATTTGAATTCGTGCAACTTTTAGTTGTGCTTCAATTTGTATTCAAGCTTGGCAGCCGCATTTGTCTGCTTCAGCTGAGAGATTTGTTAGCTGTCTCCAAACTCAGAGGCAACCTATGCCCTAAGCACCTTCTACGCTTACTTCGGGTTAACAGCCCTTGCAAACTTTGCACTCGACACCCAAGAGTGTTGGTAGGGGGTAGTTGGGGAGGGGAGGGGCTGCAGATACGAGAAGGTGTGTTGCCATTTTAGCCGCAGCTGTCTGGCCATTATTTTATTTGCGTACCAAAACAATTTAACACAAAAATTGTGCGCATTTAAAATATGCACGAGTGCAGCTATCCTTTGACACACACACACACACATACACACACATACACACACTCACACAGACAGGCAGATGATGTTGCAGGTGCATGGCAAAAGGCAACGCGCATGTTGCCAACAAATTTCACTCTGGTTGTTAGTTGTTGTTCCCATTGTTGTTGTTGTCTTTATTGTTTACGCTCTTGTTTAAATAATGGCCACACAACGTGCTGCTGCTGTTTGCTGGTTGCACATCGCAATTGGATTTTCAATTATTGGCCAATTTAATGGTCTGCCACAGCAGCTTCCCCGACCAACCCCATTTTAGCCAAATCAAACCACCTACACAACCATTTTGCTTGGGCTATGAAAAATTTAAGTTTTATTTGTATAGAGGGGGAAATGTTTTTCTATTTTTTTATGATTGCAGTTTTTTATGAGCTACACACACACACACACACACACACACAGTGGCACACTCGCACACACCTCTTTGAGTGCGCTTAATAATATATATTTTTGGACGCATTATTTTATGGTTTGTGTGCGTGTTTTTATTTCGAGTTTTGCGCTCAAAGGATTTCAAGTTCACGTACACTAATGTTGTCCGACTGTCAGCTCTCTCTCAGTATTTTCATTTTTTCATTTTTTTCATTTTATTTTTGCAGCGTGTAAAACAATAAAAATGTTAATGCTTTTTAATACCAGCGGACTACAACTCTTTAATGTCTCTTTCTGGCTGGCAGCTGGCCATGTTTGTCAGTTGTTGCCCACTTGAATTATGTTGTCAGCAGCTGCCAGCGCAACAGCTCAAAAGCTTTGCCTACTCTATAACATTTACATAACTCTCTGTATTGAATGGAATTGAGCTCAATTTTCGGAAATCACATATACTAAACCAAGTCAAGTCTTGAGAGAGAGAGAGAAAACTAGCCTTGTATTAGGAATTTCCTATTGATTCAACTACAAAACGAACTCAAATTAAGTACACAAAAATCGGAAGCCAATAATACACTATTAGATGAGCCCAGTTGTTCAAAAATGAGGTAGCTTGAATCAAGCTTGTTGACTGCTTATAGCATTTTTTGTTTTAGGATTGTAGTTCTTAGTTTGAGATTAAAATCTTAGTTCTTGATTCAATGTTCAATCCGAATTCTAGATCGAAGAAAGTGCATGATTAAGATTCGCAATTTAGTTTGAAGAACGCTTTTGGTTTCTTTTGTACTTTTTAGCCCTGAACATTTGTATCTAAGTAAGTGCAAACATCATTGTATCTACATAAATAGTTGCGCATGCCCAAAAACCAAAACGATCTTCAGTATTTGCTGAAGACTAACAATGAAACCTCGAGAAAGCACACAACAAACCAAAATCAGAGCAGTTTACATTTTTGGTTGTTATGCAAATAGTATAAAAATTGTGGTTCTTGATATTGTTTTTGTGTTTTTGTTTTTTATTATGACCGAGTCCTTTGCGTGTTTGCCAAGTTGTGGTTACACATACAGATACAAATACAGATACAGATACAGATACTACTCGCATAGATATGATAGAACTATTTGCCTACGACAATGTTTGTAGTTTGTAGCGCTTGATAAAATATTAAATTGCCGGCTGTAGTTAAGTGTCTGTATCTGTATCTGTAGCTGTAGCTGTATCTGTTTCTGTATTTGTATCTGTAACTGTGGCTGTATCTGTATCTAAGTGAGTGCGAGAATTTTCTGCTCGACTCTTCTGATGAAATCTTGTTATCTATTGTGCCCTCTGTCTGATAGTTGCATTACCTTAGGTCCCTCACTTAAATGTGTAACATTTGACTAGGGGTCTTTCTCTCTTTTTGTTGTTTTACTAGTTGTTTGTTTGGCCAACGCAGGCACAAAGTGTTAATGGCACGTGCACAGCTCGAGAGCTCGATATGCCAGTCTACACTCAAAGAAAAACACTGCTCAAAATTCGTGTGCAAACGGTCAAGTTAACCTATCAAGTCAGAATTTTCGAGTCGACAAAATATAAAAATATGTTTCGGTTAACAAAATCTGTACTCCATAACAATTTCATTACTCCCTAAAGTAAACATCCTTTTTAATTGCTTAATTTTCATTGCGCTGCTTTTTCTGAGTACAACATTTGCTTGCTTAAATTAGTCATTACATTATTTTCAAGTTTAGCTGAAGCTGTAGCTCTTTAAGGCAGCCATTCTATGAA